TCTCTCTCTCTCTCTCTCTCTCTCTCTCTCTCTCTCAAATACAAGCTGAGTCCTCTGAATCCTCAAAATTTAGGAAATAGGCATTAGATAAACTCTATCAGGAGTATCCTTGAGGTAATTTTATAAATTTCAACACAATTAGAGATATTTAAACGAACACTGATAATGTCGACTGAGATCACCTCATGACAAAAGTAGAAGAATGACGCTAATCGATTTCAAATTAGTATTCGAACTAGATAATAAAAAACTGACTCAACACCTCCCTTTGACCACTAAAAGTGATGGTGATGAAGAGAGGTGTGACGAACGTGGAGAATGAAGGCATAAGAGACTTCACATGGGTAAAAAATTTATAGATAATCAATTTGCTATAACATAATAATGACTGATGTTGAATGCTTATTTAAATAATTAATTTACCTCTCCTAACTTTCACAAAAAAAACAATTGGATCACTATTTGAAAATCTCAACGATCGTTTAAGACCCGTTATATTTCAAAATTATAAGTGTAATAGAAACCAACAAAAATAAGTCATATAGGGTTTCGATGGATTTTTTGTAGTGGAAGGAGTGTTCGAGGAGAATTTTTTGTTGGTGGTTATAGCGACCAACATTAAAAAATGTAGTGGAAATCGGAGTGAAACATTCCTACCAATCGTGACCAATTCACAACGCTCCAATAGTTTTCCGAGTCTTGCATCTCTGCATACAAAAATACACTATTAGTTGAGAACGAAAGTGTAGAAGAAATGATATTTTAGTGTACATCGTTAGACTCCCTCTCCAACCAGTAGAAGAGACAAACAAGCAATAGGCTACGGCACTTTCTTCGTCATAGATACCTTGGGACATACCATCTGTTTGTGGCTTTCTTCTAAGAAGCTACTAATGGCTTTTACTGAGATGCTTTCAGAACCAGTAGTAGAACTTGCATGCTTTTGTTTCATTTCATGTCCCTCCTGGTGTTGCATCACTCTCTAGCCAAGTTTCCTGATTTCAATTTCCTGTTCATGTTGTCCAGATATCCCTGTCAATTCAGTAACAATCAAAGCCTGGTTAACATCATACTTTCACCTACATGGTTATTTATGCTTCATCACAACATTGCTATTTTGATAAATTCCTTTTATCTATCTCAGCATAGTAATCTAAGATTGGTGAGCTTCGCTCAACTATTGTTTTTCAAAAAAGAATAAAAAAGAGTAAAAACCAATAAGATGTTTCTCGATGTTCCTTCACACAAAGAGAATCAATAATACTATTCTGTACACTATGGTGTTTTATTAGTAAGACGGCAGAGAATTAAACATGTCAGCAAATGTATTGTTCTGTAGCCCAAATACAAGATTAAGAGGAAGATGGAAATCCTGCTCAGAAAGATCCACCTCAACATTTTTTAAGACCATATGACCAGAAAATAATTCTGGATATAAAAAAGTGAGAAACAAAGTTGGAGCTAGTAAAAACGGAAGATGCAGATCCTACACACATTTTAGTCCCCCAAAGGATTAAATCCAGATAGCAAATTACCTGGGCAGCAGTTAACTAAACAATGAGAGTTTTTGAGTATATGCTCAACAAATTAGATTGATCAATATGCATGCAATGATGCTCTGGGTATTCATGGTTCCTTTCATGTAATGCAGGAGACAGAACAAATAGAAGTATATAGCACTTGGTACCGGTTTACCTGGAGTATTCCAACGGCAGCAAATTTGTCCTTGATTGTTTTTGATTTCACTGGATTTAGATCCAGTGGCTCTAACAGGGCTTCCACACACTGAAAGCAACCAATCATTAGCATAAAAGATTTTCCCTGCAACATCACTACTGGCAGATGGCATTTCTGTGCCCACCTTTGAGGTATAATTTTCATCCCAATATGTGTAGGTTAGGCCATTAAGTCTCCCTGTGTTGCGTAGATCCTCCATGAACAGCCTAACTTGCACAGCCTTCTCCAAAGCACAATCAGAAAATCAGGGATTAGAAGGTTCAAACTTCGAAACATAAGATTTCATGAACAGTGTACCTCTACACTTGATTGACCCCACAAGCAGAATGGATAACCAACAACGAATCCCACGAGAGAATGCTGAGAAATCTGTGAAAGAGAATTGAATGTGAGGCAAATGCTTGCTTTAATGCTTTAAATGTTCATCAAACTGCTTACTTCAACCAGAACCTATTAATCAGACTGTTTACTGCAACTTAGGAACCAAGGAAAGGTATCGATCCACATACCAACTTCTGGAAAACTTTAGCCATGATATCAATGTTTGTCTTCTTCCTGACTAAGACACTGCATCAGAAATCCAAAGTTATTTATTGTATATAAATCACAAAACTGCATAACATCAGTGAAAAAATAATTGCAAAACATACAGAACCAAAGATATGTTGGTATACTCTATCAGCAAAAGTATGGATGCCAATTCTAAAATATAAAACTATTTGACATAAGTTTTAATCCAAGACACCAATGCAAATGCATAGGCACTCAGATATGCAGTTAAGTTGCTAAACAGATAAAATAAAATATGATAGGCTCCTACCCTTGAAATGTAATTCCCAGACTTGAAACATTACATTTTTCAGTCAATTAACTGCAATGATCAAGGACCACATCAAAGAAACTAAAGTCTGTACTCCAAGAGAAGCAAACTTAAGATCCTAAGCATTATGACATGTGACTCTAAATATTGCACGAAAGGTGATATAGAATTACTTAATAAAAAGGTCCACATGAACAAATGAATCTCTGTGAATATGGGCTGCAATATATGGTACGAGAACATAAATCATACAACATCTTCAGTGGAATAAGCCTATTACACTTATGTCAATGCAGGAGGTAGCAAAATTAATTCCATGAAAATAACGTCTCTTGATCAACCTATGCTCCCAATATTTGTTTATAGACTACAAGTTCAGCTCTCAATCACACAACTTTTGCACCATCATCTTTGCTTTTCCAGTTTTCCTAAAATGAGTAACGATCTATTTAATTTCGGAGTATATGTTATACCAATACCCTACAGAAGTCACTATACCAATGAGTGAATCATTCATGGAAATACAAAAGACACTACCTTCCAGGTGATGCTATTCGATTAGCAACATCTGAAACAGCCAACCCAACATATCTCTGCCCAACATCTAATCCCAGTAATCGTCCTTTTTGCACGGCACCCGAACTGCACAGCTTCTGGAACAACTCCACAGGCTCAATTACCTTCATCTGTTCCTTCTTGAAGCAATGCAACCGATGTAACCGGATACTCAAGAAGGCTGGCACCACGCACCAACCTAGTGATCTAAAATGGACAATAAGCTTACTTTAGCTCCAGAATTGAAGTTGTTCGCAATATGAAGCAAAAAGATATGGAGAAACTAAGCAGATTAAAGAACATTTAACGAGAAACCTTGCGAAACTCGAGTACTGTCTGTAACATGAAGCAAAGGATAAGGTGCAGTGAGGAAGAAGGACCACTAATACACATAATGACTCATCGTGACACCATATCTCATATCAACGACGACGTAATCGAGAAGATAGCGGACCAAGAAAAAGCGATCTCTACGATCATCATCCTTTCGGCCATTCGCCATCCTCTTTAGGATGGGTGAAGACGTTTCGCAAGTAGAAGAGTACCTGAAGAACAGCCGTCGCCGCCGTCGAAGAGGGAAAGAGGCCACGGCGTAGGCGTTGAGGCCAGCGGTTAGGGTTTCGGAGAGTGGAAGGGTTGCCGACGCGGGTCGGGTTATGGCCCTCATCCGGATTCAATTTGGGTCGGGTTGCGCGACCCGTGATGGCAATACCGCCGCCCAAGCTCGTTTAAATCAGATATGAGTTGGATTAGGTTCGACCCAAACTGCACCACCCTGAGAGACTGGTTGCCGACAAGAGGGAAAGAGTAC